ATGGTCTTAAAACCTAGATATATGGTTTATTATTTGTTAATTGATTGTGCATTGATAATGCGAAAACGCATCAGTAACTTGATGTTATAAAACGCATTGTTGTGTATAGTTGGTTAATGAATAAGTAAATGCATATAAGTCGAAGTTTATCTGTAAATTTTATCCTAAGAGGATAGAAGAGATATCTTGGCCACTCGATGATTTGATTTGACTTATGTGCCGGGCCCGGTCAGAACTGAATTGATGTGTTCGATTAAGTTCTATGTCAAATAAATCGGAGATCGAGAAATCTAAATGCTAGACTAACCATTCCATAGGATTGTCAGCATGATATCTAACAGAGGACTGTACGATCCCTTATCTAAAGGACAAGATTGATTAGATCAGAGTTGACAGCGTCTTTGAGAGCTACGATTGCAAACCGTATTGTACTTGTATAGTTACTAGACTTATCCAAGTGGGAGACTGTTGGAATAGTGTCTAAGGCTATAACTATATTCGGTGGTGCATGGTCCTTTTGGGTTGCCTTCACCATAGCAACTTGAAGGATGATTTGTTAAGAGAGAGTAAATATTATAAGGAATAATATTTGCTATTTGATTAATATAAGTCATAAATTAATTGGTATTAATTTGGTGACTTAAAGAGATTAATTAAATAAGAGGGTATAAACTGTCAATTGTTTGATAGTTAGACTTTAGACTATAAATCCATTAGGATACACCTTGGACGGATTCTAAGAGCTTTAGGATAGCTCAAAATCGTCCATAGGGTTATCCATGGAATGGATTTGGATAGCCTTAAGAGAAGATTATCCAATTAGGGTTTAGGGTGAAACCCTTAAGGAGTCTAAAGGTATAAATAGGCCCTTGGGATGGGGAATTCGTGTACAACCTTGTAAAACCTGAAAGAAGGAACCTCTGGTCGAATTCCATCCCCTCTCCTCTCTCCTAAATCATCTTGCTTGCTATTGGTGTTTGTAAGCCATTAGAGGAGTGACAATTGTGACTCTAGAAGCTCCAAGACAACAAGATCAACAAGGAACTCAAAGGTATGATTCTAGATCTGTTTTAATATTGTTATTTAACCTAATTAGCCATTAGAAGTCTTGGATTCAAAAGCATGTTTATTAGAAAGCCTAGATCCAAGCAATAGGGTTTTGCATGCGCACATAGGAAAGTTCTTATGGCTAAAACCCAACAATTCCATCCCGAGGATGATTGGGCCCATAGTATGTTGGCATTCCAACCCGATGGTTGATGGTGGTGGGTATTCCAACCTGATGGTTGATTAGACCCATAGTATGATGTTATTATACCTGGGTTATTGTTTGTGTATTGGCATTTTGGGAGAACTTACTAAGCTTTGGGATTATAGTTTTGGATTATGTTTCAGGTACCTCAGGGGATTGCAGGAAGGCGAAGGTGTGATCGTGCACCTCCTCATGTTTTACTTTATGATTTTGGGATTTCTCTGATAATGAACTTATTTTGAAAACATGATGTAAACAATGATGGTTTTGGGGTTGTTTACAAGTTTAAAATTTTCATGAATTTTGCGTATGTTAGATCTTCAACTATCGTTTAGATTGTTTTTCCTAACAGTCAACCATTCTAAATTTAAGTTTTTATGTCGCGCACTGTTGTACTGAAACTTAGAAAAATCATAACTTCCTCTTACTATGTCAGGTTTGGGCGTTCTTCATATGTACGGGTTCGTTTTTACACCTACTACGACTTTCATTTAGATTATTTTCCCTAAATATACTTATATTTAAATTTTATATTTTTTTCTTATCTATTAAGTGTCGACGTAAGGTTTAGATATAGGTATTATATAAATACTTAATATTTAGGAAATTCACATAAACACACACACACACACACACACATATATATATATATATATATATATATATATACATATATGAATAAGTCTCTTTTATTTATTCATAAAAGATTACAATATTTGACAAACTTAATTTGACATAAAAGTTCAGGTCTGATAAATAAGCCTAGATGTAAATGCAGGCATTACACATATGAAAAGAGAAGGATTGCACTAAAATCAACCTAATCATAAACTAAAAGGTCAGACCCCAGTCCATGACCTAAAACCCTAAAATTTGACCTAAGTCAAACTTAGTCAAAAATTCAAAGTCCGGTCAAATAAGTGCATCATGCCTCCTAAGGATGCCTCACCCCAATTAGATGACAAAATAGTCGGGATCTCATGCGTAAACATACGGGTATCAGAAAAACCCCAAAGACAATGTGTCTAGACCAATTTCAAAAGGCCAAATGACTTAATCCTTTAAGTCAATACCCCAAACTCCTAGATCTGATCCTTAACAATATATTAGTGGATAAAGACTTTATCCACTAAGACACTCCCATCCAACTATATCTAGACTTTTGTCCCAAAAAAACCTAAGATGCTAGCATAACTTGCATGGCTTAATGAACAAGCGCAAGATATCAACTTTCCAAGTCCAAATGTTCTACATAACAACCCTAAGTTGTTATATAAAAAGTACATATATTTTGCGATACACTTTCCTTTTTAGCTCTGACTGACTGCATACATCGCATCTATTCCCTTTTTTCATAAAAAATCTTTCTAAAAAGGTTTGTAAAAATTTCTCAAATTCTAGTTTGAGTTTGGAATCACACGAGTGTTCATCCAAATCTCTCAAACCAGGGTTCTGTTACCAACTTGTAACGTCCTAAATTTCAAGTCAAAATTTTCATTTTCTAAAAATAAATTAAACATTCCAAAACCATGTTTCAAAAAAATACCAAGTACTAAAAGTTTGAATCATGATAAACCAAAAAAATGTATCAGAAAATACGAAAGCCAAATAACATAATAGATAGGAGATGCACGTGTCATGGTCAAGCTGGAGGTTTCCCACAGTTAAAAGCACAACTTGAAAAGCATTTAATCCATAATTGTAAGCACAAATCTTAACAAGTTCCCTAAAATATCACAAACGTCACGATAATAAATATACATGCAAGTATTGGGCCTTTTTAGCCCACGACCTGTCCCGATCTCACTATCATCATAATCAGGTACTTTTTGACTCACGACATGTCCCGGTCTTCATCAACCCACCCAATACTATTTGATTCACTGCCTATCCTAATCTTTTCATCAACCCAACAAAGCATATAGCATACCAATCAATAAGCATTAAATAACAATCCATAATCAAAACCCTAGTAGTCTAGCTAAGCATACTAACATGTCATACAATTACACAAGCATACAACAACCAGATGATCCAAACATGACGTAAGTAATATACTGAGAAGACTCACCTAAAGCGAATGAAAACAATCTCATGATTTTTAATAATAAACAACTCACCCGAACCACCTATAAGCAAATAAAGCATAGACCTTAAACTGAAGCTCTAATCCCAACAAACTTAACCAAATTTCAAACTTAGTCAAAAGTGAACGGTTTACAATCAATGTTTAATGGCTAAGTGCGTCGTGACCAAAGAGTATGTCGTGTCGAGAACCACATACCGACAAAATTATCTGGAAATCCACAAAAGTCACATCGTGACCTCTAGTTAGTCACGTCGTGAAATCTGGCTTACAACCCTTTCTTATTAAGCACTTAATCGTTAAACACATGAGCTCCAAATCTCAGATCTAAAACCGTCGTTTGTCTTAATGGATAAAGTCTACAACTTTATCTTAATCAAGCAAAATCTCAAACCCTAAATCCAGAAGTCCACTATAAGTGACAAAACTAAGTGCATGGCTTAAAGAGAATGCATGCATGACCCTTTTATTACTTCACAGAGGTCCATAATTTCAGAAATGTCATAATAAATTTCTAAAGTTCCTCAAACTCCAAGAACATCCATAAAAAGTGACCAAGACCACATTTAACAACCAATACTTAAGAGAAAAATCATAAAGGGAGGAATTTTATGACTTACCTAAGTCTCGAAACACAAGATAATGTTAGATCCTAGGTGTAGTAACACTTCTTGCACCAAGGATGAACACTTCTTCGTCTGTCTTCACCAAAACATGGAAACAACATTCAAACTCATACAACAATAGAGGCTAGGTTTAGGAGATGGAGGCTTCCAAATGAGACAAATCCTAGGAGCTGGTGCATTTAAATTGGGCCCAAAGGCTGAGAATTAGGGTTTCTCAATTAAACGGGGTCACTTCATGCATAAGAACTATCTCATCGTGGCATTCATTAAAGTGTAGCACCACAACCAGGCCCACGGTCACACTGCACATCCGACAAAACCTTAAAACTTAAGCATCCTGAAAATCGTATGTTACATCTATTAATTCATAGATTAATAAATTTTTAATTTTAAACAAAATTTTGTAATTTATAAAAGCTCAAATTTAATGTAGTAGAAGTAAAAGCTTGTATTCCAGAAAGTATAACAAAATCAATAATAAACCAAATCAAAATCAAAGTTGTAGGTGATCGAATAAAAAGATGATGAAAATTTTAATTCGTTGAATTCGTCGAAGGTTGCGGCGACTCAGATTCACGAGAGTTGGATAACTCGTCAGTGGGTCTTGGTTTGGAGAAGGTGATGGTGACGGTGACGGTGACGGTGACGGTAACGGTAATGGAGACGGAAATTGAGATTGAGATTGAGATGAAGAACTCATTGATAGGTCATAAATCTCCGGAGATGGAGAAATCAAATCATGGTTTAGCGATTTTGTATTTTTTTTTTACACAATCTTGTTATCTTCCAACCTCTTTCCGGTCACGATGATTTTGAAGTGGGTGGCCTCTAGCCATAACATAGAGAGAAAAGATTATTGGTCGGGGTTGGCCGGGGTACATCACTTATGTGATAATGGAAATTATAAGGGTAAATTACACCGTTGGTCCCTCGTTGTTATTTATCTTGCACGATTAGTCCCTATGCACGTTAACTGTTAAATTCTTCCGTTTAAGCTACCCACGTGCCTTGCACGCAGGGGCATTTTCGTCTTTTCAGGGTTTGTATACATGAACCAGTACGGCGCGACTTCGATAACCGATCATTTCTCATTTCATCCTCCGTCGACCCTTAGAATTGCACGAGAAAACCCTAGTTTTCTACGATGGTGAACTGGAGGATTAGGCAAGAATGGGAGGAATACGATCTCCAAAGCTCATACGGTAAAATTTTCTACATTTTCAGTTGATCATCCATTATACGTTCCTAAAACGTAATTTTTTTTTGGGTTCGCAGCTGACAATCCATGTATGTTCTCGATACGATTGAACTATGGTGGAGTTTTTACGAAGTTTCCAGGCCGCAAATACATAAAGGGGAAGATGAAATATATTGATGGCATTGATAGTGACTTGTTCTCGGTGCATGATATGGACGAGATAATGGAATTGCTTGATTGTGTGGAACCAGGTAAAAGTATTTATTATCATTTCAAACGACCAACCTGGGATTTAGATTTTGGGTTGTATGCTTTGGGTTGTGACGAAGATATAAACCACTTTAGGTCATACGTGTATGAACACAAGGTGATAGAAGTGTATACAGAGTTTTGGGAAACCAAGCTGCATACGTATCAAATGTCCCCAAACCCTGCAAAGATAAAGATACACGAAATTCCTGAGTCCCTTTGTCGTAAAAGCTTGTTATTGACATGGTCAAATTCAGGGGATTGTCCTAGTGAAGAAGCCCCTGTTTTTGAGAATGTAGAAACTATGGACGAACCCCCTAGTACATTACTTGAAACAACCTTGGAACAACCCCTTGTTACATTGAGTGAAACAGTTGAGTCAACCCCTGCCTATATACCAAGAATTGAAAGCCCTTTGACTGAACCAATGATAGGAAGCACATGTCCTAATGTTGATGGTTGGGATGATACATTTGAATGGTGTGAACCTTTTGGTGGGACTCCTATGGAACAAGATGAACCAAATAGTGAAAAAGCAGGTGAAGACAGTCAAGCTAGTAAAGACAGTCATGATAGTGATGACACTGAAGATAGTGAATACAGTCAAGATAGTGATTACATAGTTGATGAAGATAATTTGTTAGATGATCCAGAGGTTGATATGAAGAACTTTCACCTCAACATTGACAAAGAGGTGGAGTGGGTTGGAAGTTTTCCTGATGATCGAGATGAAGCAGTAGAAGGTGATGAAGAATTAGAGGTTATAAACACTGAAGAATTTGTATCTGCATCTTCATCAGATGAGGGTGAAGCTAGTAAAAAAAGGAAGAAGATAAGAGATTTACGAAGAGCACATAAGAATGAAGCAGCTGCTGTCAAAGATCCATTTTACATCCACCAGACTTTTAGCACAGCCAAGGAAGTTAAACAACAAATTTATCTTCATTCCATACAGAGTAAAAGGGAGTTAGACTTCGTCAAGAATGACAAAAATAGGATTAGAGTGGTTTGCAAAGGGACAATACCAAACCTTGGGATATTAGAAACAGGTGGGACCAGCAAAAGTAATGACAAAGTGGGACCAAGTCAAAAGAAAAAGAAAGTGAAAGATGGTTCTATTCATAAATGCCCATGGGTCCTACTAGTGAGTAAGTGGAAAAAGACATTAACTGGACTGTTAAGACCTATGAAAAGCAACATACGTGCCTTCAAACAAGGAAAATTAGGGCATGTAACTACAAGTTTCTCTCTGAACAGATTGTTGACACAGTGGAGGCAAACCCAGAAATACCACTTAGAGCATTACGTGAGATGCTTGAGAAGAAATACCAACTTGGATTGTCAGACATGAAAGTTCATAGGGCGAAAACGAAAGCCCTGGAATCAATTAGGGGAGATTTTGCTGCTCAGTACTCATGTCTAAGAGACTACTTACAGGAGGTGCAGAGTAGAAATCCAAACACCACAGTCAAACTTCAAGTGCAAAGTGAACCATGTTATGCATCTGAGACCAGGGTATTTGAACGAGTATACATTTGTCTTGGTCCACTGAAAAGTGGATTTGCAGCAGGGAAAAGAGATTTACTAGGGCTTGATGGTGCATTCATGAAGGGTCCATACCATGGTATGATCCTGACAGCAGTGGTATGTGCATAATCATATTTTAGTATTTGATTAATGTTTGACCATAGTTAATTGTTTGCTTATTACTGTGTTTGACATGATAATTCAGGGTTTAGATGGGAACAATTGCACATACCCTTTGGCATATGCAGTTGTTGAAGCAGAGAACTTTAATTCATGGACCTGGTTTTTAACTAACTTAGGAGATGATCTTGGTTTGTATGCAAACTCCAACTTCACTTTCATATCAGATAGACAGAAGGTAAATAAAGTTCTCCATTCATTTTCACATGCATGTTTTACAATTCAATAAGCAACTTCACTCTTTTGATGATTTAGGGGTTATTGCCTGCACTTGAGAAACTTTTCCCAGCAGCAGAGCATAGATATTGCCTAAGGCATCTTCATGAGAACATGAAACGTAAATGGAGGGGCAAGGAATTCAAGGATTGTCTTTGGAAATGTGCAACATGTACCACCATACCACAATTCAACAGTGCCATGGAAGAACTAAAGAAACTTAACAGTGAAGCATATGACTGGCTTAATTCTATTCCACCTAAGCACTGGTCCAGATCCCACTTCTCAGGTATATAATATTATGTTTATAAGTGTATAATTTTTAAATATAATCTAATACAGTTGTGTTTTATTAGGGAGGGCACATTGTGATGCTTTGTTGAATAATATGTGTGAGAGTTTGAATAGCAAGATAGTGAAGGGTCGTGATAAGCCAATTATCAGTTGCTTGGAGTTTATTAGGGAGTATATCATGAGGAAAATTGTCATGGTTCAAAAAGAAATTGATAAAGCTAATGGCCCATTAACTCCTACAGCCACTAAGACCCTTGAAAAAATTAAAGAAAGGGCAGTACAGTGTAGGGCAGTGTTCTGTGGCAATGGGAAGTACCAGGTTACAAGTGAAGGTACTAATCAGTATGTGGTTAATATGGACCAACAAACTTGTTCATGTAATAGGTGGGAACTGACAGGCATACCCTGCAAACATAGTATAGCAGCTATATGGGATATGAGGCTCAACAATGAAAATGTTGGAATACCTGAGACATGGGTACACCCAACTTATTGGCTCAAGACTTGGAAAGAAATGTATGTCTTCAAAGTTGAACCTATTAATGGGAGGTTATTGTGGGAAAAAAGCACATGTCCTACCAAGTTGATACCACCAAAGTATCGTGTCCCTATTGGCAGACCAAAAAAAAAGAGAAGAAGATCTGCAACAGAAGATGATGGAGTGTCCACAAAATGGAAATCTGTAACATGCACAAAATGTGGAAATGTGGGCCATAATGGAAGGACCTGCAAGGGACAATCACAGACTGGGAATGGAACAGGAGAAGGTGCAGCAGGGAATACAACAGGAGAAGGTGCAGCAGGTAGCAGTGGTGGTGTACAAAATGGAGTTGGGAACAAAGGAAAAAGCCCCATGCTTTGAGAATTTGTAGTTTGGTATCATGATCATGAAGGATAACTATGTTTTTGTTAGGCATTTATTGCCATATTACTTTGTTGTTATGTTTTGTATTTTGATACTTTGTTGCTGTCTAGGATAACTATTTGTATGCCATAACACTATGTTGTTATTTTGGATGTCCCTTTATGTTAATGGTCAATGGTTATCTTGGATATTTTAGTTTTTGTCCTTTTTAATTGTTATATTGGATGCTACATGTATTGAATGGTATATTGCATATGTTGCAAATACCACATTTTCATTAAATTTGAACACCAACTGATAACACCACATTATGATTACACAATATATTGTAACTAAAATTGAAATTTTTTTGTTAATACAAATAACATTACAAAATACACATACCAAAATACTAACAACTTCATTACTAACCTACACTTTATATATAAGGACTGAAACAAAAAAAAACCCAGCTAATAACTAGGTAAAGCTTCAATTTGCGATTTTGTTCTTCAAGTTTCATCCTAAACGCCATACAATCACAGTCCTGATCATAATCATTCACCCATCCTATGAACTTGCATAATGGTCCCTGAACCAATTAAAGTAGATGAAGAATTAGGGCAAAATTAGAGAAGACGAAGAACGAAATTGAAATCATTAACCTTACCTTTACTGTACAAGCATAATAGAGTTTCCCAGGGTTTCTTTTGCTATAAGATGTGCGAATCACTGCAGTGGCTCCACAATTGCATTTAATATCGATCATTGTTATGTATTTGGAAGAAATCGATTGAACGAGGGGAAGAGACGAACGAGAGGATAGCAAAGGAAAAGAGGGTTGCAGTGTTCTTTATAAGATTTAAGGTGTAACGGCATTAAATATGGACACAAACCCTAAAAAGACGAAAATGCCCCTGCGTGCAAGGCACGTGGGTAGCTTAAACGGAAGGATTTAACAGTTAACGTGCATAGGGACTAACCATGCAAGATAAATAACAACGAGGGACTGCACGAGTTAAATTTTGGAAATAGGGACTACACATGCTTTCTGGCATGTGCACGAGGGACCAACGGTGTAATTTACCCAAATTATAATTAAAATAATAATGATGATATGAAAATACTTTAATATGTATAGGTGTTTTAAATATTCATTATATAAACACGTCGTATAGTTGACAGACAATGAAATTAAGAAAATTCAATTCTTAAAGCAACTTGTGTAATATGTCAAGACGTAATATAGTTGACATACAACAAAATGTAGAAAATTTATCTCTGAAGCAACTTATACAACATTATCTTGGTGAATGGAGAGGAGACTTTTGTATAGGTACATAACCTCATTTCTTCGGATTATGGAAACAATTCAAACGAAATGAGCGGAGTTATAGAATAAAAAGATAATAAAATAATTTTTAGGAATAAGTTAGTTTGTCGTTTTAATAATAATAATAATAATAATAATAATAAATTTTTTATGATAAAAAATTCCATCCAAGTTTTTAGAGAAATTAAAAAATAATTTTTTTAACAAAATTTAATTCAAACAAACGTTTTGTACTTCATCAATGGTAAAACAGTATCCCAATTTTATTTATAAACATTGATTAAGTCAATTTTTTTGAACGGCAACAACCAATAAAATTAAAAGAAAACTAGCAAGGCGTTAGAAATACAGACCATTAAAGACTGGTTAGGATTTTGAAGCGACATAGCCTTAGAGTTACATGACGAAAACCTACGAAACAAAATATCGACAATGGAATCAAAAATTCTATCATTTCTAGGCTTATTACTACTAAGCAAAATACCGTTACAGAACATCCAAAACACCCAAATGACCACAGAAATAACCGTATCAACAATCGCCCCTTGTTGCTTAACATTCGGCCTCGCATCGATCCAGTCCATCATGTCTCTCATAGAAAAAAAAACAGGGATATCCGAATCAAGCCAAAGATTAACCCGCCTCCAAATCTGATTTGCAATGGTGCACTGAATAAACAAGTGCAACACATCTTCAGTAGCATCGTAACACAAGGGGGACAAAACCGAGTCAAGATCCACCCCTCTCTCCACCAACTTCGACCTCACAGGAAGCCTATCCATCATTAAACGCCAAATAAAAAACATTTATTTTAATTGGAACTGAACAATTCCGTTTAGTAGGCATGGAACCCGACGGAAGTCTCGAATCATCGATCCAATTCCTAGTCGATTTAACCGAAAAAGCACCCTGAAATATCAAGATTCCAAACACATTTGTCTAACTCCATGCCAAGATGATAGTCATCCAACAAAGACATCAAAGTCATAAACTGCTTTTGTTCAACCGCTCCTCTAATGTCATGACGCCAAGCAAAAACCCAACCCGTCGGAGACCAATAATCACTAACTAAAGAGTTTTGATTAGAAGCAAGCACAAACAATCTTTCTAATTGCACCATCATAGGAACATCCAAGCACCAAACATCGTGCCAAAACCGAATAGTAGCTCCATTCTCAGTCACTTTAGCCATGGCATTCGAGGGCAATAAACCACTCTCGTGAAGATGGTTAATAGACCCAACTATTCTTTGCCAAACACCACCACCACTTTGTATTCTCGAGCCCCCAGAAAAACCTCCCCCTTCACCATAAAAAAACTTCAAAACTTTCACCCATAAGGCGTCAGGCTCATTAAAGAATCTCCATTTCCATTTATATAAAACACCCAGGTTAAAAGCATCTAAACTACCAATACCCAGACCACCCTGGTCAAAAGAGTTTAACGTAAAATTCCACTTAACCCAATGAATACGTTTTTGACCCTCTTCCATTCCCCAAAAAAACCGAGCTCTCATATTTTCCAAAGCCTACAAGACAGCAACAGGAGGCCTAAAAATAGATAAGTAATAAATACCAAGGCTACCTAGAACTGACTTAACAAGAGTTAAACGACCTCCAATAGACAACAATCTAGTTTTCCAAGATCCCAATCTTTTTTTGAAGAGATTTATAATTATTTGCCAACCTTTAACACGCACCATAGATTCGCCAACCGGAACACCAAGATACACAAATGGAAAAGAACCAGTCGAGCAGCCTGTAAAAGAAGCAAGGTTGGAGATTTCAGACCTACTAACCCCCACACCATATAGACTAGACTTAGAAAGATTGAGATTTAGACCCGAGACTAAATAAAAACATCTCAACACCCGAATCAAATTTCGGACATTATTCTCATTCCATTCTCCAAGAAAAATAGCATCATCTACATAAAACAAATGAGAGATAGCTAAATCATGTGACTCAAGTTGGGCCCCCCTAAACACACCTTCCGACACCGCATCCTCCATAGCAATAATGAAGAGAAAAGGCGACAATGGGTCACCTTGTCTCAACCCTCTAAACAACTAAAACTCATCCGTAGGGCAACCATGCAAAAGCATCGAGGAACGAGCATTTGAAAACACCCCCTAATCCAAGCCCTCCATTTTTCCCCAAAACCAAGAAACAACATAATCCTATCAATATAATCCCAACTGACTGAGTCGTACGTTTTTTTCAAAGTCGACTTTAAAAATCATCAATTTCTTCTTCTTGTGTTTGAACCACCGAACCATTTCATTCATAAGAAGACGATCATCAAGAATTTTCCTGGATTTGAGAAAAGTAGATTGCTTCAACCCAATAACATCATGAAAGACCGGAACTAACCTATTAGCCAACAATTTAGCAATAATATTAAACTGCAAGCCAATGAGACTAATAGGCCGAAAATCGTTGATACGAATAGGATTGTCAATCTTAGGAATCAATGTAATAAAAGAAGAATTACACCCAATGGGAAACCTAGGATTGACACTAAATTCCTACACAAAAGCCACTACATCATCACCCAAAAACTCCCAAAAATGTCTGAGAAACCGGAAAGAGAATCCATCTGGACCCGGTGCCCAGTCCAGCCCACAATCCCAGACCACCCTCTTGATCTCTTCAGTAGAAAACACAGAGTCAAGTGAATTAGCCGTGTCCGGATCAAGAGATCTGAATCTATCATTCTTACGACCCATCGGAACTCCCTTAAACTTTTGGAATTTAGAAGCGTAAAAATCAGAAAAGGCTTTTTTAACAAGAGGGGGATCCCCAACCCACTCCCCGTCAATAGATATGCCTCTAATAAGTCTATGACATCTTTGCTGCTTCAACATGGCATGAAAAAAAAGCTGAGTTCTCAGCCCCCTCGATAGCCTATTTAAATCGAGCTTTTTGGGCTGAGTCAAGAGACCAAGACTTTTCCATGGAGGCCAATTCACCAAGAATAACCCTTCTCTCACAAGGCAAATCATCACTCGATCCACCATCATCGAAGATCTTATCAATATCAACCAATCTAGATAATATATGGTAACTAGAAACTCTAGATTCCTCCTTATAACCCGCAACCCATTTTTTATCCGGTCTTTTAAGATTTTAAGTTTATTTTTGAACACAACAAACTTACTCAAAGACCTGTCAACCACGAACTCCTTGATAGCATCTTTCACCATATCATTAAATCCATCAAGCTCTAACCAAGCGTTGAAGAATATAAAAGATGAAGGACCATAATCCACCAAAGACACATGCAAGAAAATAGGGCAATGATCAGACAACCTTCTATCAAGAATCGAAACTTGAAGATTTTCAAATCTATCATAAAAAGCTTCATCCACCAGAAACCTATCCAACTTACTTAACTTGGAACTAATAGCATCAATTCTAGTAAACCGTTTCCCAATCATAGGCACGTCAATGAGACCCATATCATCAATAAAATCATTAAAATCAAAAGCCGAACTAGAACAAAAAACCGACCCCATTCTATCAGACACCTCCCTCACAACATTAAAGTCTCCATAAAACACGTAATTCCCCCCCCCCCCCCCCCCATTCATCCTTTAAAATCCATAAGATATTGCCACATGTCAAATTTCTCCCGGATACCTTGAGGAGCATAAATATTAACCATGTAACATGGAAAATAAAAGGAACCCAAACTCCTCCAACAATAACCACATTATCCGAACAATGAACACTGCCTTTCACAAACACATTAGGGTCCCAAACAGAAAGAATACCCCTGAAAGACCCCGAACACAACTACACGCAAAATCAAAACAAGGATTACCCCTACATACTCCTAACTTTGAACAAGTCAAATTTTGTCATTCTAGTCTCTTGCAACCCTAGAAATGACACCCTATTCTGGATACACAACGAATGAACCCAACTTCTTTTAAAAGAAGTTCGAGTACCACAAATATTAAAAGATAGACAATTCATCTATCCACTTGTACCACACCAATGCTAGACAAGATTTTAGAAACCTTATCCTTATGAGATTTCATATCATACCCAAGAAAATCACCGATTTCAATATATCGTTTCAAGACATCCTCAATATCTTCTACACCCACCGAAACTTTTTTCTTTAGCAACTTAGAAGAACCATGTGAACCAGAGGATCTCGACGCCGAGGCATTAAGATTAAAATTCCCGTGTAACTTCTCACACTAGAACCCTGGAGATTGAGATAAAGATTCTGAGGCCCCACCCCCCACTACTCCACCCTGACGGATTTCCTCATCAGCCGATGAAGAATCCCTCTCGGGCCTAGTCGGCAACTTCACCGATGCATCAACCAGGATCGATTTGACCCACTCATCATCTTCAAAGCATCTATCCACCTTCTTCTTCCTTCCACTAGTTTGAAAGAAATGAAATTTTCTATCTACAAAACCAGCTTCTTGATTACCTAAATTTGGAGTGTTATGTACATTGAGAGAATCTGCTACCTCCTCATTACCGTTACCCTACTGAAAATCTTTTTGTATATCACACGTATCTTCACCAAAAAAAAAAATCCTTGGGTTCCTCTTCATCTGATAATTCTGGATTATCCGAGCCCACCTCCCCCTCTTCCAATATATCTAGTTCCTAAATTGAAATTTCACGAACTGCCACATCATACTCAATACCTTGGGCAACCACTTTAACTGTCTCATGAATCAAACCTGGCTTGTAAGTCTTAATACATGCCCTCTTGATTGCCAATGAAGCATCCCCATCATCATCTAGAAAACATACATCACCCCACATGCTAGCCACCTTAGAAACGACATCATCATTCCATGCACAACAAGGCAACCCAATCATCTCAATCCACACAGCTCTTTCCTTAACAAAAAACCCATTTACAACAGGCCTAAACAAAGAAAAATAGGCCTTAATACCATTACATTTCTTGAACCTGGCGCAGACTTCTTCAGACAAAAATGTCAAACATACCCAATCACTAGCAACATACTTGATTTGAAGAGCATCAAAGCCTTCTTCTTTCAATAAAACAAACAAATTTTGAATCAATCTAATATCCCTGAGTTTCGCAAACATCGAAGCCTTTAAGGACATATTATTGCATATTTCCTTCCCAGACAAAGTACAAACAGTAGATTTAGGCTCTTTCAGCTCATGCATGCCCTTGCCCCCCTTAACCACAGTCGCATATGATTCTTGCCCCTTCCCATTAATTTTGGACACCACCTGATCACCATGTACATGTGAATCAGATTGCCTCTTACGATCAGATTCTCGTTGAAAACGAGCTAGTGAAACAAACAGGTGGTATGAACCCAACCAAATTTCTCTAATCTTTATTTCCAACAATTTCTCATCTGAAACTTTAATAAAACGAACAAAGGCAAAACATTTACCTAATTTGGATAGCTTCTTAGCAATGTAAACATCAGCCACAGTTGCCACCTTCGCACATGCATCCCATGATTCCTTCACTCCGAGATTAACAGGGAAATTCAATCAATTTCAGATTACCGACCTGAGTCCAAGATCGACTCCCAGGCCCAATCCCAACCATCGAGCTCGCCAAAAGAAATCGACTCGCAGGCCCAATCCCAACCATCGAACTCGCCAAAAGAAATCACAGAAGAAGAAGATCTCGTCAGAGAATGAAGAAGACGCTGACAAAAGAGTCCCTTTATTATGACATTCAGCAGTGGTTGGCGAGAGGCGAAGAAGGACCGTGACCAGCGACCTGCAAAGAAGTAGTGGCGAACGGCGATGAACGAATGGGATTTTTGAAAGCCGATTAGGAAGGATGTTAGCTATTGATTAAGTCATTATTTTGTATGTTCTTTTTTATTTGTATTATATTACTTTCAATCTTAAAAATCACCATGTTTTAATAATGGGACATGACTTTCAACTTTTAAGTTGAGAAAAAACTAACTTGTAGTAGGTAGGAGGTTGCATTTTGTTAAATGCTAGCTTTTAATTTTAAAGTGGTTTGTTTAAACTAAACACTAAAACCTTATGGTGTCAAACAAAACTTTTTGTTAAAGAAAAGCAAACACAAATTAGATTGGAAGGAAGAATAGTCAAAGAATAGTCAAGATTAGTTTTAGATATAATTTAATAAAAACTACCTAATTTACTAAGGATAAGTACATTTCAACTACATATATTCCATTACCCCTTTTATATATATATATATATATATATATATATATATATATATATATATATATATATATATATATATATATATATATAACTTAGGAAATAGAATGATTCATGGAGGCTCTTTGTTTTATGCAACACCAATGGCTGTGGTTTTTGACCATGTTTTGAAAACCGGACCGAACCGGCCGGTTCAACCGGGAACCGGTCCTGGATCCGGTTCTTAAAGGCTAAAAAACCGGTATTCGTGTGAACCGGTGAAAACCAGTGAAAACCGGTTGAACCGGTAAAAACCGGTCCGGTTGAACCGGTTAAAACCGGAAATTTTAAAAAATATTTATTTTTTTCATTTTTTTGTAATTTTTGTATAATTAAATATAATTATGACATCATTCGGTTTTTCCGGTTTTTGAGAGGTTGGACCACTTGAACCATCGAACCAGTAAGACGACCGGTTCAGTCTCCGGTCCGGTTTTCAAAACCTTGGTTTTTGAGCTTTTCCAATGTCAAACCAGCTTGATATATATTCTCCCTATATAAACTAAACGACATGCTAACACAACAACATCCTCAAGTAGCATCAAAGAAAAAAGGTCTGTCCCACTTATCCCGTTGAACAAATGTCTCATGATCACATGGACATGCCCATGCCGATGCCCAAGGCTAATACCACCGCCATGCATAACATGGCTACGATGCACATGACCTTCTTCTGGGGCAAAGATGTAGTAATGTTATTCAACGACTGGCCTAATGGCAAGTTAGGCATGTATATTTTGGCTTTAGCTTTTGTGTTCGTTCTTGCTGTTGCAGTCGAGTTCTTTTCTGTGTTCACAACCATCAAGACAGGAGCATATACGATTTCGGGTTGTCTGACTCAGGCTTTTGTTTATGGATTCCGTATGGGTCTTGCATACCTTGTAATGTTGTCTGTGATGTCATACAATCTTGGTGTTTTTATTGTTGTGGTGGTGGGACATGCCGCCGGATTTTTTCTAGTGAAGTATCGGTTGTCTTTGAAAACCAAGGATGATCCGGTATGACACTTTACCGTTGATTCAGCTTAGTGGAGTGTAAAAAGGTGTGCTTACTCATTCGACCGTGGTAATTAATAAAAAAATAAATTTAAGATTTTGGAAGAGTCCACAACAATTGATTAGGTGAAGAAACTATGATCAAATAAATGTTCTCGTGTGATTTATTATGCAAGCTTTTGTTAACATACTAAAAAAACATGTGACCTTTGACCTAAGTTAGCAAGTTCTAACAATTTGAGTTCAAATATTTTACCTATTCGCTAACGTAGTTGTAAGATATTAGTGATATTGATATCGATTATTGATTTATATTATAGGGATAATGACTTAGGAGATTATTGAAGTTTCAAATTTGTTTAAAAAACATTAACGTTTAGTCCCTAATTTTTTTTTCTTAACTCGGACGGTCCCTAGCGTTTAAATTTATTTTGCCTTCGGACCATGATCGAGTTAAAAGACTAATATACCCTTATTATTTTTATTTAACATTTATTTTTATTACTTGTTAATTATTTACACAATTGATACATTTATAATAAATAATAACATAAATTGTATAAATAACTAATAAATAATAAAAATAATGCTAAATGAAAGTAATAAGAGTATATTAGTCTATTAATTCGATCAAGGTTCGAAGTTGAAGCAAATTTAAACTAAAGCAACCGTCCGAGTTAAAAAAAAAAAAGTTAGGGACTAAATACGTAAGTTACCCCAACCATAAAGATGGTGTTTTTGAACATAACATGTATTTCGTTGGTGTGTTTTGAACATATATCTTAGTTTGATGGTATTTTTTGAACATGTAATACTTGAATGTTTTTTTTAACGAATTTGAAACTTCGATGGTCTCTTAAATCATTTTCCCTATATTATATTGATCCATAAACAACAATTTTTTACCTTACACAACATTTTTTTCATAAACTATCAATTTTACCCTTTTTAACTTAACACTTTACCCCATTGTCTATTAAAATTGTTAAATAATTGTCTATTTAAAATTGTACGAATCAGCTCCCACATTGTTAAATAATTGTCTATTTATAAAAAATTGTTGAGTATGCTAAAAAATCGTTGTGTACGAATCAGCTCCCACATTGTTATCATTTTTTCATACCAATAGTATTAAGATATTTGCGACCACTCATTCCAATTTTTCCAACATTTCTCTATTGGCTTGATTTTTTTGTACGATCGGAATGTATTAAAAAGCTAGATAGAAGCTAGCAAAAACGAAAAAAAACCTTAGTTCATGAAAAGATTTTGCATCCACTCATTCCAATTATTCCATTTTTTCGATTTCTATTACAAAACCAATTAAACAAAAACAACACAATGGAATCAAATATCATCTCTCATATACTTTGCATTCCAAAAAACCAACGCATTTTGATAAGTCTGAAGAAACCATATCAAGGTAGCACACGTTGACTCCATGATCAATCTTATAAAGTTAGCGATCACAAAGCCAACAATCCATTGCAAATCAAATAAAACGAAGACACAAAAAGATCAACCCATGTCACAAACTTCTGCCACAAAGCCCAAGCAAGAGAGTATTTCAAGAATGGTTACTCAAAATCCTCCTGAACCTCACAATAGCAAGCACATAAGATAGAAGGAAACTTGATTTCACGACTAACAAGATTACATCTAGTCGGCAACCGACTTAGAATAGTCTAAAATATTTATTTTTATTAGAATAAACTTATTCCACGTAGTAGCGATACCACCAAGGAAAAAAGATCTAGACAAGCTGTAACATCCTTCGTCGAAAATTGGTTCTCCAAACCGAGAACCCACTCCCACGAATCCATTATATTCGAAAGCTGAAAGGAATTCAAAATCTCCATCAAAATATGAAGCTAAATCAACAAGACTCCACTAACAGTCAGTCTCTTCCAAGCAATCTCCCATATATTACTTGTCCAACAATTACTAGGCAAAGCATCACCGATTAAAGACAAGGCAAACAATCTAGGAAACCGAGCACTCAAAATCGCATCACCAACCCGCACGTCCCTCCACAACCTCATGTAATTACCATTACCCACTTGCCTTCTAATAACATCAAAAGGAATAAAACCATTGTTATGTAAATCTCACACCACTTTACAATAGCCACCCAAATACTAGGTTTCGAAATGCCTAAGGAAGGTTGTGAAAAACCACCATCAATACCATAACAAATCTTGATCAATTGAACCCAAAGAAATTGATCACCATTCAAAAAGCGCCACCTCCACTTATATAGCGAAGCTTGATTAAAAGTAGACAAACTTCCAACCACTAACCTACCATTCTCTTTGGAGGTAAGAATAACATCCCATTTAACCCAATGTAAAATTTTGTCCTCAGCAACCCAATAAATCTTGAACGAAGACTTTCTAACTGGCGACTTATAACCACATGCATCTTGAAGATCGACAAATAATATATACCAAGGTTTCTAAACACAAACTTATCCAAAGTAAGTCTTCGGTCAATGGAAATCATCCTCGACTTTCAAAGAGATAGTTTTTCACGAAATTAATCTAGAAGAACTCCCTAATCCACATCTTTATACATCCAGTCTCCAACTGGTAGGACAATATAAATAAAAGTAAAGGAGTTTGAAGTGCACCCCATATAAATAGCCTCCTTAATACACTCAACGGAAGTCACACCAATCCTATAAAGTTTAGACTTATGCAGATTGATCTGCAAACCAAACGTCATATAAAACATTCTAATGATACAAATCAAACTTCTCACATTATCTACATCCCACTCTCCTATAAAAATGGAATCATCTACATAGAAAAAATAAGAAATTCCATACATGGTGACCAATTGTAATAGCCCAAAAAATACAGGTAATTTTTTTTTTAAATACATTCAATTCATATGGTACTAATATCAAAATAGTTAACAAAGTGTCATAATCAAATGTTATAAGAGTACAAATTCCCAAAATCTCTAAATGCGGAAATCATAGGGTGATGCGGTGCGATCAAGCGGGGTCCTTCCCCTTCGAACTAGAAGTACCTAAAACATAAATTGAAGATTATAAGCACAAAGCTTGGTGAGTTCCCTCAAAATACCACATACAAAACAAACATATTGCCAAGCATATATGGGTGCTTGCCTATCCCTTCGGTTTATTTCAACTGGATGCTATCAAGCATATTTGGATGCTTGCCTACCTCTTCGATCTATTTCAACCGGATACTACGAAGCATATCAGGGTGCTTGCAATCCCCTTAAGTCTATCTCAACCAGATACCGGATCTATTTCACTAAAAGACCCACACTTTCATACTTGAGACACTGTTACTCAAAATTACACCAAAACATGCTATATGCATATTCATAAATACTATTTTACATTGATAATTTGATTACAAAAGACTGGATACAAACCGACTATTTAGATTATTACAAAATGTTATATATTACATAACTACCCAGTATATTTTAGTTTTATACATACATGTGTACAAATACAAAATTAATAGTTTTAACTATTCAAAATCTTCTATCAGTATATGACCATACAAGATGTTTATTACCTGCAATTTGTTAAACACTAAGAGGGGTAAGCGGTGACACTTAGTGAGTTTAATAATAGATACAATATAACGTTATGTCATATATATACTTCAATATGGAAGAAGCAAAGAGGAACAAGGAACAACAAAGACATATGTGAATCATGTGACAAGCTTTCCATATCAATCAATGATTTGATTCAAAGATATAAAATCAATGAGACATAACAATTTCAATACTTGATATACATTAATAAAGCTTTGGCCCAAATAGCACAGAAGACATACACTTTTTGATTTAAACATTTTGGTAGATTTCAGGCTTTTAGCCCTATCTAACCTTCTGCCAATGCCATGGGGGTAGAAGTCATTCTCTTACGATACATGCTCTACACGGCTAGAGGCTACATACCAATACCACTGTGAATCTAAGTCCTTCCACTGATCACATGGTCAAAGGTACAACTTTGCTACCATAATAGCACGGAATAATAACACGAAAAAAGCAAATAGCGCATATAACACATAACATACAATTGTTCCTATATATTGGACTCACCGTGAAATACCCGAAGAAATAAATGATAATTTGGGAAACACTTCGACTCTAAAAATGACTTTCTATGACGAAACCGGAGATTTTAGTTGAAAATCGGGCCTTACTCATGCAAAGTTTCGACTAGTAAGATGATTTTCTCAGGAACTTCGGAGCGTCGGGACTTGTTTCGAGTGTCGGAGATGATACTAGGTCTTCGGGGCGTTAAAAGTAAATTAAATGAGAGTACAGAGTGAGAGGGAATAGATTTTCTAAACAAAAACCTGAAGGCTTTGCGTTCTATTTATAGTCGCTAAAATCCAAATTACGTTGGGTGTAATCTTTAAGTACGTGGGGCGTATAGCCCTGATAGCTTATTCGTTGGGCGTACACTCCGGTACGCGGGGCGTAACGTGATGTGTGACATCAGACATGTTGAAACTGTGTGGCACGTGTCGTATGCTAAGAAGGTGTTGACGTGGCCGACTTTGGATCACAAACATGAGTATGCTCGGCGTATTTATGTACGCAGGGCTTACACTGATTTTCTAAACTTCTAAAATCCATATCTTTTGCATACAAGCTCCGTTTTTGACGTTTTTTATATCCACGCGAATGTGAGATTATGCTCTACAACTTTCGTTTAGACTCCGTCGGCTAATTTTGACTTTATTTTTAAAGTTATATTTTTAACAGACCGGGACAAGATAAGTCCGTTAAAAATTCATAACTTGTTCATCTAACGTCCATTTTAGTCTGTCTTTTTACCGTTATACTACTATTGATAAGACATTTGATTCTCGTTTAGGTTTTCTTGGCTAAAAATCACTCGATATTTATTTTGAGTTTTTAGCTGTCTATTGATATACTGAATCTTAGAAAAATCATAACTTCCTCATACGAAGTTAGATTTTGACGTTCTTTTTATGAAAGTTCTC